TGAAACCCTTTAAACCTGAATATTTAAGAAAGTAAAAGTGAGGTTTTGGCTTTCTTAGGAAAACATCTATGTGTGCAGAATTATTGGGCAACTATTAGTGTGCAGGATTATTATGCAACTAAATGGAAAACAAACATTTTCCATCACACTTGTTTATTTTCATCTGTTAAAGTGCAAATAATAAACAAACAACTCAAAATTTACAAATAAACATTTCTGACATTTTGAAAAACAAAATCAGTGACCACTACAGCCCTCCTTCTTTTCAGGGGTCATAAGCCTTCCATTCATGGACTCTGTCAGTTTCTTCATCTGTTGACTATCAACTTTTTGTGCAGCAGCAACAACAGCCTTCCAGACATTGTTCAGAGAGGTGCACTGTTTTCCTTCACCGTAAATCTCCCGTTTATGAAGAGCCCACATGTTCTCAATAGGGTTTAGGTCAGGTGAGGAAGGGGGCCATGTCATTATTCTTTCATCTTTAAGGCCTTTATTGGCTAGCCACGCAGTGGAGTACTTTGATGCATGCGATGGACATTGTCCTGCATAAATATCATGGCCTTCTTGAAAGATGCAGACTTTTTCCTGTACCACTGCATGAAGAAAGTGTCTTCTAAAACCTGGCAGTAGGTTCGGGAGTTGATTTTGAGTCCATCTTCAACCCTAAAAGGTTCAACTAGCTCATCTGTATTAATACCAGCCCACCAGTACCCCACCTCCACCTTGCTGGCATCTGAGTCAAAGTGGAGCTCTGTGCCCATTATTGATCCAGCCACGGGCCCATCCATCTGGTCCATCAAGAGTCACTCTCATCTCATCAGTCCATAAAACCTTTGAAAAATCTGTCTTCAGATATTTCTTGGCCCAGTCTTGATGTCTTGTTCAGTGGTGGTTGGGTTTGAGCCTTCCTTACCTTGGCCATGCTTATGAGCACTGAACACCTTGTACTTCTAGGCACTCCAGATAGGTTGCAGTTCTGGAATATGACAGCACTGGAGGATAATGGGTTCCTGGTAGCTTCACTTTTGATTCTTCTCAAATCTTTGGCAGTTAATTTGCATTTTTTTTTCTCAACACGTTTCATGCGACCCTGTTGACTATTTGCAACAAAACATTTGATGGTTCTGTGATCACGCCCCAATATCATAGCAATTTCAAGAGTGCTGCATCCTTCTGAAAGACTTTTTACAATTTTTTACTTTTCACAGTCAGTTAAATCTCTTTTTTAGCCCATGTTGTCTGAGGAAAAGAAGCTACCTAATTACGATGCACACCTTGGTATAGGGTGTTGATCTCCATATGCCACACCCTCCCTCATTACACAAATACACATCACCTGATATGCTTAAATCCAATAAGCTTTCAAGCTTATATAGCTTGGAGTTGGACAATATGGATAAAAATGGTGATTGTATGTGCTGTTTCCAGGTCTCAGGCCAGCTGAAACCCAGACTGTCCAGGCGAATCCAGGACAGGTGGTAACCCTAGTACTCACAGATACTAATTACTGATACCTTTTTGTTTATTGCCATGTGACAGTTTTTCTAAAACAATACAGACTAATAACTAATAATTTCAGGACAGTGGTGGAGCGCCAGGGCCTGGTCCCAGCTGCAACCCTGGTAGTTCTCGTGAATATGCCAAGTATCGGCACTAGTATCTGAGCATCCCTAATTAATTGCTGTAATTTGCACCCACTGTGCAGAATGGTATATATAATAGAAGAATTCAATTTGTAAAATATTAACCATTGTCTGGAGGTTTCAGGACTGAGCTCATGGGCACCCATACAACTGGAGTATTTTCCCTGCCAAAGAGCCTCAGATGATGTGTACAGCCTCCCATACAGGCCAATATGCAGCTGTAGGTGGGTATGTGCTGGTTCTTCCATACACCTGCACATGTACATGGATGTAAGATCCAGGACACAGTCTGCATCCAAAGTCATATGTCTGTGCGCATGCATGGATGTAGGGAAGCACTGGCATATACCTGCAAACAGTTATTGACTTTCATAGGCGGCTGTACGCAGCAATTGTGGCTCCCTAGCGGGGGAAATATTGTAGTATTTACATTGTACAGGCTCAGCCGCCGATGTGTAGGAGCCCTTAGTGTGTCTGTGTGACTCTCTTGTACCACAATAATTAAGGCAGATGTGTGCAGTATATACAGTGAACAGGCACAGTTTTTTTTTTTTTTTTTAAAACATGCCCATTATTCAGGGCATGATGGTCACAGCGGTCGAAGGGTGCCTCAGGCCTTTCAAATTTCGAGAAACACCTCACATGCAGTGTCTGTAGCCCAGCCAAGGCGAAATCAGGTAGGGCTGACAGCACTGCTTGGGATTTTAGTGCAGCAGAAGAAGCGTTGTCAGTTCACAACGCTTTAGTTAGAAGTTCACTGGATTTCTGCCAGGATCACAAGGTTTGTTTCTGTGCTAAAAATGCACAAAAGGGGCTCTGTATGAAGAAGTAATTTAATACTGACGTCTTCTGCTGAAGATAAACTGCCACCCAATCAAAACTTCAGAATTCAACACTTCTGGCAGTGTCATATTCCTGGTCTCCCGCTTTGTGTTGTGGTTCCTCCCACCTGCCCTACATGACTACAGCAGGGGCCAAGGGGAGGAACCCCAGCACGTGTATGTACATTCCTTTCACTTCAGGAATTAAACACAGTTGGCTCTGTGTAATCACCCAGAAATCTCTTCCCAGTTCAAGAGGCAATGCTTGATGCCTGAGTGGCTAATTGCCAAGCACCCATTCACCTGCCACCCTATAGCGCAGAGTCGCAGATATTTTGCTTCAAAGAGTTGTAGGGATGTCAAGATAAGGTGAATACAGGTAACTGCCCGAGATGCCATTAAAATAGAGCTCCAGTTTTTGTTTTTTTGCCTTTCGGTCCCAGGTTGCCCTTAGGTAATTGCAAATGTCTACTTATCCTCTCCATGCTCCAGCGCTGTCTCCAACTGTATTCAAGGCCCTCTTCTGGGCATGACCACACTGTCATTCTGCTCATTTCCTACGAGCCCAGCCTGTTTTTTACATGACCTCGTAGGGGGTGCGTCATCACGCAGGCTGGGCTCACAGTAGGGTTGCCACCTGTCCAGGATTCACCCGGACAGTACGGGTTTGAAATCTTGTGTCCTGTTTTCAAGTCAGCTGAAAACCGGACACAAGATGTAGCCTCAGAGCTCCATCAGAGCGGTCACTCGGCCAGGCTGAACACAGAGCGGCCCCGCCCCGCCCCGCCCCCATCACCAGCCGACCACAGACTGAGCTGGGAGGTCTGTGCAGGACATTAGCTGTCCTGTGGAAGATCACAGAACACGGAGTCCAGGAGAAGGTGAGCTGAAGGGGGAGGATTCACTAGCAGACACTAGCAGAGCGAGGAGTGACCAGAGCTCTACCACCACATGCTGGACACATAGGGGGGGCACAGGAGCCAATCTGAGGACTCGGGCCAAACTGAGGGGAGACACAGGCAGGGTTTTCCATCAGTGGGGTACGGCCAATACTCATATGAGGGACCCGGGCAGTCTGGGGGGCCTAGGCCCCTTGCATGCGTATTAGCCATACAAGGGGTGGCACAGCAGAGGAAAGAAGTGGAAGAAGCAGGGCCCTAGCAGCACCGATCCGGTGGTAGAGGAGGCCGGGCCCCAGGTGGGCTCTGCCGGGTCTCAGGTGGGTCCTAAAACCAGCGTGGCACTAATCCCCGAGTCCCGTGCGGGTCTCAGGTGGGTCCTCAAACCAGCTTGGCACTGATCCCAGAGTCCAGCTGGGCACTGATCACAGAGTCCAGCTTGGCACTGATGCCAGAGTCCAGTGCATTTTAAAGCCCTGATGTACGTGTATGTGGGAACTTTAACAAATGTTTTTTGCTTTTATTTATTTATTTTTTGATGTTACTTTAATTTTTTTTTTACACTTAATTGCTATCACATAGGGGGCCAACAACAATGACAGGTCCTCTTTATGGAGATATCAGGGGTCTTTAAGAACCCTAAAGCCACCTAGGGACCCCAATGAAGCAGCACTAGAGTGTTTGGGTTTCACTTGAAGAAAGGTGGCAACCCTAGCTCACAGTAGTGAGTGCTACTCAGGTCTGAAGAATGCACACCCTTTGCCACCCCGGGAAGAAAGAGAAGAATCTGGGGATGACGTCACATGACCAGTAAGAAGCCCTCAAGAAAAAAGGTATGTATAGGGACTTAAAAGTAAATCTGTAGCTCTGTCCTCCATGGGCAAAGCACAGGCTCACTCTAAGCCCCGATCACACCACCTCACTATGGTAACGCCATTGGCGCCACCCCCCATTCACCTTGCCAGAACAAGTGTGTTGCAGTGCACCACAATGCACAGTAACTCACTGCTGTAGGAAAAATAGCCCATGTATCATTTTTTGCTCCATCAGCCTGCCATTTAAATTGTTGACACGTGGCATAAGGGTATGGATGGGGCCTAAGTCCCAAACGGCACAAAGTTTACGAATTAAAACACAGGAAATATTGAATTTTTAATCTTTTAGAGCATATGTGTCAAACTCAAGGCCCAGGGTCTGAATATGGCCCACCAGGCCATTTCCTAGACTTCTACTCTCAGATCTAGGTATTAAGATATTATTAAAACTAGTGATAATCGAATGGGCCGCAACCATAATTTTGATGCGGCCCACGATTAAATTGAGTTTGACACCCCTGGTCTAGGGCTTTATTCAGTCATATAAACATACAAGCCAAAGCTTTCCTTCAGCTTAAGTTACAGTGAATTACAATACAATGCCCAGATGGTTCACAACCAAATTAACACACCCTGTACTATTATACTTTGTGACACTTTGTCAAACACTAAAGTGCTGGCGAACTACTACTTATCCCATAAGGCTTTGCGCTCTCCAGGGCTCCGCCATCTTTCCACTTTAGACAGCTAAGAGCAAATTCACTGTAATCTCTGAGGAGCTGTCCCTCCGGAGCGAGGCTTGGAACGCAGACAGCTAGTCCCGCCCATCCGCTCTGACTCCGCCCCACGAGTTCTGTTTTTAAGTCCTCCTCCGCGACCGGCGCGTCACTGTTGGTGGGGGTCACGTGACAGGGGGTGCTCGTAGTCGGTTATATTATTGATGTGTTGAAGGGGTGTCCCCGGTGAGCGGTGGAATCTGCTGCTGCAGCAACAGGAGACAGCGGCTGGGGGGGTACCCGACTGTTAGGCCCGGCCCCCAGCCGCAGATAACAAGCAACGAGTCAACCAGGAGGCCCCCGAGAAGGAAGAGCGCCCCTCTTTTATTTGTCTGTCGCCGACTAAACCCCAAAGGAAGCCCCGAGTCAGTGTATCTAGCGGAGAGGGACACCCCGGGGGGGAGCTGAAGCCATGTCATCTCCCAGCCCGGGCAAGAGGCGAATGGACACGGATGTTGTCAAACTGTATCCTTCTTGTGTCGGGGTGACAGGAGGAGGAGGGGAGCCTACAGGGGTGACACCATTGTGGCCGGGAACGCAGCAGACAAGCCTACAGCTCCGCGGCTATTGTGTCTGCCATCTTCCCAGCGCTGTCATCGCACTTCACTGGGGCTAGTGAGCTAGAATCTTCGTCAGCCCCACTCTGGGCTTCATCCTGCTTACGTGGGTGACTGCAAGCCGTTTATTCCCCAACCGCACATAGACTCTGCTGTGTCAAACCTCTTCTGACGGTTCTAGGGTCCCCCAGCTAGGATTTCAGTTTTCCACAAACTGCTGTTGGACATCTGTCTGCTCCTGTTTGAGGCCCCCCTGTACTATTCCTATTGGTGCGGGGGCTCCCCTGTACTAGCCCTATTGTTGTGGGGCTCCCCTGTACTAGCCCTATTGTGGGGCTCCCCCTGTACTAGCCCGACTGTGGTGGGGCTCCCCCTGTAGTACTAGCCCGACTGTGGTGGAGCTCCCCCTGTAGTACTAGCCCCCTTGTGGAGCTCCCCCTGTAGTACTAGCCCCCTTGTGGTGGGGCTCCCCCTGTAGTACTAGCCCCCTTGTGGTGGGGCTCCCCCTGTAGTACTAGCCCCCTTGTGGTGGGGCTCCCCCTGTAGTACTAGCCCCCTTGTGGTGGGGCTCCCCCTGTAGTACTAGCCCCCTTGTGGTGGGGCTCCCCCTGTAGTACTAGCCCCCTTGTGGTGGGGCTCCCCCTGTAGTACTAGCCCCCTTGTGGTGGGGCTCCCCCTGTAGTACTAGCCCCCTTGTGGTGGGGCTCCCCCTGTAGTACTAGCCCCCTTGTGGTGGGGCTCCCCCTGTAGTACTAGCCCCCTTGTGGT